ATGCTGTATTTTATTGGCTATCTCTCAAGATTTTGGCTGGTTTGAAAGAAATATTCAAAGACAACCAAAACTCCCCAAAGAGAAACATATTTTCTGGATGCACACCCTGATTTCTTCCAAGATAAGCCTTTCAATCCCCCCCCCAAGACTGTCCATGGTGCTAGAGACTGCTCCTCTTTGTCTGGATAAAGGCAATCAGTCCAGGATATTTTCTAATCAGTTCCATATGAGGCAGCTGGTTTAAGTCTCCCCATCCCACCCAATCTACCAAATGCCACCTCTCTGTGTGCTTCTGGCTTTTCTTTTGTCTTAGCCACACACCTCGAGCCAAGGGGAGCAGATGGTTTAGAAGAGTGCAGTTAGCTTCAAATGGGCCTACAAAGATCACTTCTGTCCTTGTCTACTAGACAAGTCTGGCAAATTAAGGCAGCTCGAAAAACACTCCTCCTAGTTTGTGGAATTCCACACCAAAAAAAGAAGTGGCCAGCAACCATTTGACTTGGTTGCCTTAAAAATAAAGCAGGGGTCTCCAACCTTGGCAACTTTAAGATTTGTGGACTTGGCTGAGGAATTCTGGCAGTTGAAGTCCACAAGTCTTAAAAGTTGCTGAGGTTGGAGACCCCTGAAATAAAGGGCTGTATGTATGTTTGAAAATATTTCTAGATCTGTGTTTAATTGGATGCCTATTTAAAGGCAGAAAATTCCAGCTTTTATTTAAAAATAAGTTTCTAATCTCAAGAATACAAAAACCAGCTCTATCAAGCACATCCAAATAATGCGTTGGAAGCAGTAGTGGGATTCAATTTTTTTTTACTATTAGTCCTGTGGGCATGGCTTGGTGGGCATGGCAGGGGAAGGATACTGTAAAATATCCAGTCAGAAGTGATATTTGCCGGTTCTCCGAACTACTCAAAATTTCTGCTACCAGTTCCCCAGAACTGGTCAGAACCTGCTGAATACCACCTCTGGTTGGAAGGATTATGATGAGCTGAGTAAGACTACTGCCAATTCTGAAAAAAAAAATTTAACTAGTAACCTGATCTGCTGGAATCAGCAGTCAGTAACCACCTGTTCTGAAGTTTCTCTTTGCAGCCCCGATTCCCCTTTAAACCATACCACTAAGTTTCAGTTGCACTAGGTCTTGCTATTTTATTAATTTATTAGGTTTTTATTCCACTTCATATAAATAACTTAAAGCAGTGAACATTCTTAATATCCTCTGAGGTAAGAAACATGTTAAACCTACAGTGTAAATTCAATTAATTTGAACAGCAAAAATATGCTTTCTTCAAATAAAACAGTGAAAATATGCCCATTTTGCACTATTGTCTCTTTCCAGATTGCATCCAATTTAGTAAAGCTTCCATCTACTGAAAGAGTGCCTACCCCCATTGTATGAATTATGCTGCTTTCTAACAACCATCTGCTGATAACTTGGCAGTTCTACTTTCATCAGATGACACCACCAGGCTGAAACTTAGCAAATTTCTTGGTTTAATATGAAGCAAGCTCTAGGAAACCTTTGGAGATTTCTTTTTAAACCTGAATGCAGTTTAGATATGGGACAGTTTGACAATGTTTGTGTTGCTAGAGAGAAGAAAAACTTTTACCATTTCTTCCTACTTGCCAAAGTGTCATTTCTTAGTCTTCAACAAAATTAGAACAAAGGAAGAAGGCAGGAGATACTGTACAGAATTAGGGTTATATATAAAAGATTGAGGGTATCTGCTTCCTCTATACCAATTTACCTACATTTTAAACCTCAGAAGTACTATCTACACTACATGCATGCTGTGAGAGTAATTATAGGGAAGGAGTATGAGTAGTTGTCACAATTTATAAGAATGTGGGGCACTTACTACTCATTGAGCATCATGGTTCCATCTATCTAGCCCAATCCTTCTTGGAAAGACCAAAAGCAGAGTTCTCCATTAATGTAATACTCTTATCAGGTTATCTGAGCTGGTAGTCCTCAACATATCATGTAGAACTGAATTCCATTAATTAGTGATGCACTGAAACACTGCACTGTTTTCTGCTTTGAGTTTCCTCCCAATTTAATCTGGTGATCTAAATTCTGTTGTTTTGAAAATGGCCATTAATGGTCACTGTGAGCCATGATCTCCGAATCATGCAAAATGTTATAAACTGCAATCTTTTCCCCCATGCTCAAGAACCATTCCACACCTCCTCAACAAAACTGACAGGTCTTCTGCAGTGCAAGGAAGATGAGTTCCAATTCCAACTTGATCCATGAATTTCTTTGGACTTCGGGGCATTTAACTCTTCAGACAAATGGCATTTTAAATTCTGTATCTCTGCTGCAATTGAGTGGGAGTGATTCACATCTTCCTTTCGGGACGGTTCTAAAGTTTGCAGTCAGTGTTTTCTACAACTCCCCACAAGACCTGGAGTTCTAGGAAAATAAGTAAGCAGCCTGACGTTAGGCAACTCTATTAACCCCCTCGGGCCCCATCTATTTACTTGGAGCAGAACTGGGAGCCAATACCTTGTACACCAGACAAAGTGGGATTTATCCATAGGCTAAAATCCAGCAGAAGACATTTTCTTCTCTATCACAGAGGAGTGAGCTTCTTTCTCCATCATACGGAATTAATTGTACCAGCACTGTTTTTCTTTCTGTGCTTTTGCCTAATGAATTCATAGCACAGAAGGGCTGACAGCTTTGACTCAAATTGCAGAAAAAGAGGATCTTTGCCAAATCCTCACATCTGCTATGGGTTAACCCTCTTCTCCTCCCCGCCATCATTCAAGCCTTCCCAAGGGAACCCCTCCCTCTATACTGCTGGTCTTTCAGGGGTGGGGAAAATTGACTCCTCCAGTTTCTGTGATTTGTTTTCAACTTTCCCTTCTTAGTTTACCTTACATCTGACCCAACATGAAATTTTTATACTTATCGTTAGCTAGCCTGAGAAAAGCATAGGCTGAAAATGGAACATTTAACTCCACCAAGGAGGATTTTTGATATTTTCTTGTTTCTTACTTCTGCTCTAATTTAAAATTATTTAAATCTAACAAATGGCTTGCCATAAAGTGAAGTCCCAGTCACAAGAGGTATCTGTTATTTTTAAGGATGTTTCTGGGCACCATGTGCACTCTAAGAAAATGGCAGGTGCTTTGTTAGAAAGTCTTCTTTGCCAAGAAAAAAGAAGAAAGGAAAGCTGGCATCTTGAAGGGCAATGATTAATGTAGGACTAAAAAGAGAGTAAATTTAGTCTAGCGGTTAAAGTGCTGCCTAGAAACCAAGAGACCTGAGTTCTAGTCCACCTTATGTGATTATAGACCAATCACTCTCTCTGCCCAGCCCATCTCACAGGGTTGTTTGTTGTGAGGAAAATAGGAGGAAGGAATAGTATGTTTGCTGGCTTGAATTCCTTATAAAATTTATAAAGGCAGGATAAAAATCTAATAAATAAGATTAGGCAGCTGCTAGGTGCTTTCATCTGCCATCTAGTAGATGTTCAGGTTATTGTAGTCCAGATTTATTACCTCTAGCATTCACTGTGAGAACCATTGTGTGAACTTGCAAACTGTCAGCCATGTTTTCAAAATTTCCAATGTGACCAACCCTAAACGGTTGAGGGCTTGTCTTGGGATTCTATTGAATCCTATTGACCTTCAAGAGCTAAATATATAGACATCTTTCTCCAGATGTTCATGGAGCATCCATGCTTTCGTACCCCCAAAAGCACAGGAAGCACCTGATTCATTTTCAAGAACCAATTTAAATTAGGACAATTCCAGTGAACTTAGTTTGGTTTGGATGACCATCCCTGGTAGCCTAGTGTTAGGGATATCCAAAAATTCAAAATGGCACTCACAATGGCAGTGTTGTTTTTTTGAGGTTTCCTCCATTTGATGCCCCTTATTTTTATTTACATAAAAATGTAATATTTAATGTCCCTTATTTACATAGTTGTTTTATTGAATATTGCAGCATTGTGTTTGGTCTAGTGGTTAAGATACCAGGCTAGAAAGTAAGGGAACATGAGTTCAAGTTCCACCTTGGCCAAGAAAGCCAGCTGGATGACTGGGCCAGTCTGTCTCTGTCTCTGTCTCTGTCTCTGAGCCCAACTCACCTCACAAGGGGGTTGTTGTTGCATCCTATTTTATTTCTTTTGCTACAGTTGTTAAGCAACTGTTAAGCATTTCCCTATTGACTCTGCTTGGCAGATTCTGATTGAGAAGGTTACAAATGATAATTATGTGACCCTGGGACATTGCAATCATCATAAATACATGCCAGCTGCCAAGCACCCAACGTTTGATCCCATGAACACAAGGATGTGGAGACAGTCCTAAGTGTGAGGGTCGGTCCTAAATCAAGTTTTTCTAAACCTAAGTCAAAAAATTAAGTCCTAAGTCAAAGATTCCCTGTAACAAAACTCAGCTATTCAAGGAAACTGAATCATACCGATCTGATAACATCCGTACATTAAAAAAAGGATCGGGAGTTATAAGGGGGGAAAAAAAACCCTCATACGCAAAAGAGGGGAGAATCAGCATCCTTGATATGAATAAACGTTAGCAGTTTCAAACATTACTCTTTCCTGTTTCTTGCGGTTATGAGTTTCGGTTTGCAAGTCCCTGGGGCCAGGGAACCCTCCCCCGTACCCCCACTTTCCTTTCTCTTCCTCCGTTCGTGCAGCTGCAAGAAAGCCGATCTGCACCGAGCTTACAAAATTCACTTTGCAACGGGGCCGAGGAGCAGAATCAGGGCACGAGCTCCACCCCCTTCCCCACCTCGAACCAAGCGCCGCGTGCGTGGCCGGCCTCAAGATGACATCAACCCAAAAGGCCGCGCGCTGTTGTATGCAGTTTACGGAGCCGGTCGCCTCGGAGACGAGGCCTACCAGGAGAGTGGCGGGGGGGGGGAAGAGGAGGAGGCTGCGGGACGCAGTTCTACATAGGCCCCGCCCTCATATGCAAAACAGCTATCCCAGACGTCATCTGCAGCCAATGGGAGGCGTCTACGGTGAGCTCATCGGGCCGGCGGAAGGTATAAAGTGACCTCCCCGAGGAAGACGAGCGTCTTCAACGCGCGCGGGGAGAAAGGTGATTAGGCTCGGCTCTCGGCGTCGTCGTCTAACAAAGCGCTGTCCGGGAAGAAGCCTGACGCTCCTCCTCCTCACGTCGGGCGCGCAACTGGGGGCCCTCCCCCGTCCTACATTCCCGAGCGCTCCGCTGCGGAGACCATAGGTGGCTACCTCCCCTCCGCGGCCTGCGGGGGGGAAGAGGATGGAAATACCTTTCTACCATGATGATGTGTTGAGCGCTCTGGCAGCATCGACGACAGCGCTTTCCTCCCGAAGCAGCAACTTCCAGCAGCCTTTTTTCGACGGCACCATGATGAAAAAAGACGGCTTGGCCTTGGCCCTGAGCGATCAGGTGGTGTCTGGCCTGAAGGCGCCCTCCGGCCATGCCGCCCCTTCCGCGCAGCAGCAACAGCCGCCGCCGCCGCCAGGGGAAAACCAGACGCTTCTGACTTCCCCGGATCTGGGCCTTCTTAAGTTGGCCTCGCCGGAGCTGGAGCGCCTGATCATCCAGTCGAACGGCTTGGTGACGACGACGCCGACCAGCGGCGGCACCCAGTTCCACTTTCCCAAAGGCGGCGGCGGTGGCGGCGCCCCCGACGAGCAGGAATTTGCTGCCGGCTTTGTGAAAGCCTTGGAGGACCTGCACAACCAGAACCAGCTGGGGAACGCGGGCCCGGTCGGCGGGGAGCTGCCGCCAACAGCCAGCCTGGCCCAGCAGCAGCAGCCGCCGCCGCCGCCTCCGCCTGTCGAGCCTCCGGTGTACGCCAACCTGAGCACGTTCTCCGGCGCGGCCGGCTTTTCGTCCGAGGGGGCTTACCAGGCGCACCCTCGGCTGCAGCCGCCGCCGTCGCTCAAGGACGAGCCTCAGATCGTGCCGGAGGTGGCGAGCTTCGGCGACAGCCCGCCCCTGTCGCCCATCGACATGGACACGCAGGAGCGCATCAAGGCAGAGCGCAAGCGGCTGCGCAACCGCATCGCGGCCTCCAAGTGTCGGCGGCGGAAGCTGGAGCGCATCTCCCGCCTGGAAGAAAAAGTCAAGAGCCTCAAGAACCAGAACACCGAACTGGCCTCGACGGCCAACCTCCTTCGGGAGCAGGTGGCGCAGCTCAAGCAGAAAGTGCTCAGCCACGTCAACAGCGGCTGCCAGCTCCTACCGCAGCAGCAGCAGCAGCCCCACCAGGTCCCGGCCTACTGAAGGGCCCCTCGGCAGGGAAAGGAGGGGACCCACCCGAGGCCCTCCGACGACGCGCCTCGACGACCCGCCAGAGGGAGGCACCCCCGTCCTCAGCAGGCGCGCTCTCCGTGCTGGGGAGGCGTCGCGAACCGAGGAGAGACGCGGGGGAACACCCCCCCCCCCCCCCGCGCCCTTCCGCTTCCACCCCGAAGCGCAACCTGCGAACTTGGCCACTTCGAGGAGAGTGCACCCCCGCCACTCATGCATTCGCACGTTGGACAGGACCTTCATACGAGTTCGAGGGAAGTTTGGGGGGGGGGGGGTTAAAAGGACGCTGGGGGAAGCCTTTTCATGGCCCTCCCAAACTGGGTGCAACAACATATGGACGCAGCCGTAGTGTTGCTAACTAGGACTTCCTGGGCGACAAAGGGAAGAAAGAATCGGGGTCTGAAAGGGGGCGGGGCATCGCTAGTCTTGTGCCTTTGAACTCTGGATACCCTTCCTTTATGGGATTTTTTTTTTTAAAGTGACAGGATCTCAGAGGTGGAGTGGTTGGAGAGCCTAGACTGGCTCCTCCTCAACTAGCCACCGATCTCAGTCCTTGGGATTTGCCATAGACTTTGGACTGAACTTTGCCCAGACAGGCTTTGGTCTCTTTCCTCTTCCCATGGCAGCATTTCCTTTTTCTCCCTTACCATATTTATGTTAATATTGGCTCCTGCTCGTCTCTTGTTTTGAAGAGGGATTCTTATGCCCCTTCTCTGTTTTTTTTTTCTCTCTCTCCCTCCCTCCCTTGATATATCACATTCCACAGTGCAGTAAAATTCTGTGCAGGAGATGAAAAAAAATGTCTTGCCTGATTTTTTTTTGGGGGGGGGGAAATGGGTGGGGTTCACTTTGGTCTCTGGCTCCCTTGAGGCAGCTGATCCCCAAAATGTGTTGTGAGTGCCCTCTGGTGCATGTCTGAGGAACAGGGAGCTGTATTTTTGGAAGGTTTTTTTTTTCAGCTTGAATTGAAATTCTGGTAGACTAGGAATTTGGGGATTAATAGTCCCAATTGATCTGAAGGACACAGGGTTTGCTGGGGGAGGGAGGCATTCATGGCTTCTTTGTGTTGGTCACTCACAGGGTTTAGCCACTTATAATCTTGTAAACCAGGACTCTTCAAACTTGACAGCTTTAAGACTTGTGGACTTCAACTCCCAGAATTCCTCCTCCAGTCATGTTAGCTCAGGAATTCTGGGAGTTGAAGTCCACAAGTCTTAAACTTGCCAAGGTTGAAGACCCTTATTGTAAACACATGTCCATCATTCCAAGTTATTTGTTTCTAAGTTAGTTCTGAGTATCTTTTAACTTACGTTAATGTTTAGGAAGGTGTGGGAGGTTAGCTGGTGAAAAAAAGGCAAAAGGAAAGGTGCGGTGACGGTAGTATACATGAGGGCCAGTGGTAAGTCACTTTTCAGTGCTGTTGTAACTGAACGGTTGCTAAACAAATGGTTTTAAGTTGAGGACTACAGTTCCTTTGGCTCAGTTTTAAATTTGCTAGTCAGTTTCATTGAGTGGTCTCTAGTTGTAGTATGGAAGACAGAGAAAAACTTGCCCATTCTTTATTTACCAGATACTATTTCATCAGCTTGAATGATGCTTCCTCATATCTTCTAAGCTAAAGAACTCCCATCTGTTGCTGGCTGGCAAATCTGGCATTGCGAATTTCTGCACTCAATTTTTCAGATGCCTTCCCCAGTCTTATTCTCATTGCACATGAGAATCTGCAATAAAAAATGGATGACAACCATCTCTATGGAAGCTTCCCCAGTAATTTGGCTCAACTAGCATTTTTTAAAGTTTCTAGTTCCAGTCAACCTTGTCCTTTAACCAATGTGCCAAAAAACAGATGTATTTGGAGAACTATTTCAGTCCTGTTTCGATCGTATTTCTTAACCATGGCAACTTGAGGAATGTCTAACTTTCAAGTCTCAGAATTCCCAGTCATGGTGGATGGGGAATTCTGGGAGTTGAAGTCCAGATGCAGATGCTTAAAAATAGTAATGGGAAAATTCAGAATAAGAAATTAAGGTGTATCTTTTGCCAGAACGATTCTTTATCAAGTAAGCCTTATATTGGTGTTTGGTTTTAAAGACTGGGGCTATTGAGTAGCTGTGTTAACACAACCCACTGACCTACACATCAATCACAGTTAAACTATGTTTTTATTTGACTTGACCAATTGTTGGTTTGCTATGTAGAAGAAATCAAGAATCTCTATTTTGTAAAAAGGGGAGATAACTCCATAACATCCTATGCAGTTTTAAACTTGCATGCTGTTCTTTAGAATTGATATTTTGACAGGTAATCCTCGACTTAAAAGCCATTCATTTAGTGATCAAAGTTATAGCAGCACTAAAAACATGACGTACAACCCATTCTCTCACAACTGTCACAGCATCTGCACAGTCGTGATCAAAATTTGGGCCCTGGTACAATAATTGCAGTGACCTGGGATCATGTGATTATCATTTGCAACTTTCCCAACTGGCTTCCAAAAAGCAAAAGTCAATGCAGGAAGCCAGTTTCACTTAACAATGGCAGTGATTCATTTAACTGTGACAAAAAGGACCTAAAATCAGGCGTGACTCACTTAACCGACTTGCTTAGCAATGGTAATTCTAGTCCCAGTTGTAGTCATAAGTCAAGGACTACCTGTACTGATTCGTCAACATAAGATGATGGACAACGTCACACACTGAATGTTGAAGGGACCTTAGCAGTCATGAAGACCAACCTTTTAGTCAGTAGAGGGATCTACTAAACCACCTCTACAGGTAGTCCTCGACTTACTACAGCTCCTTTAGTGATTGTTCAAAGTTACAGTGGCACTGAAAAAAGGGAGTTTTGACCATTTCTCACTCTTAAGACCATTGCAGCATCTCCATAGTCACTTGATCAAAATTCAGACGCTTGGCAACCAATTCATACTTATGATGGAGTCATGTGGTTTTCTTTTGTGACCTTCTGACAAGCAAAGTCAATTGAAAAGCCAGATTCACTTAATTATGTTACCAGCTTAACACTTGCAGTGATTCACCCAACTCCTGTTCAAAAACCTTCATGAGTGGGCAGTCATCATCACATCACCTCTTATTCTCAAGAAATTCTTGTAGATGTTAAGCTTCCTTTTAACTCCAACTTAATTGGCCCTTATCCTGCCTTCAGTTTCAATAGAGATCTACCTTCCCCCTCTTGCACTCCACAACTTTCAAGTAGATATTTATAGACCACCATATCTTCTGTTCAGCCCTTTTGGGAAAGTAAATATGTCCAGCTCTTCTACCATATCTCAAAGAGCTTGATTATCACACTAGTTATTTGACAGCTCTTCTCTTAACCCACTTGAATTTTGCATCCCTTTTGATATTCACTATATAGACATGTGGATGAACTGCCCAGTACTGTTTAAATAACATTTAACTTTCAGTTTTGTAACCAGCATGGAAAATTTTAAGGTCATTCTCTGTCCTGATGAGTTCAGGCGCCTCAAAGGCGCCTCAAAGATACTTCCTTAAAATCTTACCCAGCAATTTACTGTTTAAGTGCTTGATAATTATTTATTCAAACTTTGCCATGTTAGAACCCACCCTTCCAATATCTCCTCTGCCTGATCTTTACACAGAACTGGACAACTAACAACGAGAATAGACCACAAAGGTATAATGTGCTTCCAAGAATGTAGCTCCATTGGTTAGAAGGAGCAAAGACTTTAGCTGTGCGTGCTCAATACTGTGAACTACCTACCATCGGCCAGCAGCATTTTAAACTTAAATGCATTGTGCAAACTAGGTGCCTGTGTTTGGTTTATAATTCAGGCTATTGTTTAATGTTAATTCCATAAACTGTGACAAACATATTGCATGAACACAGGGAGAGGTTTTTTAAGAACTAAGGGCCCAGAATGTTGAACTCAGATGTTGTGTCTTAAATTCTTAAGAAATTGCGTAACCTATCCTGGCAAGGAGCTGCAGTCCAACAACATTTAGAAGCTGGAGGAGCCAAAGCTGCCAGTGATAGAAGGGACTTGACTGAATTATTGTCTAAAGCTTGCCTGTGGCTTTTGTACCAAAAACAATCTCTTCTGTGCCAATTTTATTCCTTTTGTTGTTGACATTCAGTTGTCCTACAGCTGGTTGCCTGGGACTGTGAGGCTGGTTATCAGCTTTGATTCAGAGGCCCGTGGCCTTTTGTAATTTCTAATTTAAAAGAGAGATGCTTTCTTCTCTAAAACTAAAGAAGTAAAATGCGCTAAAAAAACAAATGGGACCTCCATTTTTCTAAATGCTTTTAATAGCCTTACAGGTCTGCTGCTAATCTGAATATTTTGAGTCATTCTAGTGAGAAGAAAAATTACCGTTAACCTCTTCCTGTTTTTGTCCCATCACTTAACTTTCTCTTTCAGAATATAAAGTTGGTGGCAGGATTTTTTTTTTCCTTATGCACATGTAATTTGATTACTAGGCTGTTTTTCTGATCCCAATCTCTCTAAGTGGCTTGCCCAAAAACAAAACAAAAAATCCTGAAATTTAGTAATAACCATATGCAAATTTCAAAGGCAAAAAAAAAGACACGATTGGGTACAAAAATCTTTTAAGAGCCACAAAGGAAATCTTGATCAGTATTTTGTTTCAAACTATTGGCATGAATACCCAATGTAAATTAGTTCGACTGTGAACAAGCTCCCAAGCTTTCAAGTGAATTATTCTATTAGAATAACTGAGATATAAAAAATAACCTCTGGAAGGCATTAGGAATTCTCAAGAACTCAGAAAAGTTAGGAGGAAAGACATGGCTGATGGAACAGAATGACTTGAACAAGTTTCATTTTTAGATAAGAGAAATTTTTAAAGGCTTACAAACACCCCAATCTTTTAGGGACTTTCAGGGGTTTATTTTAATTTTAAGTGACGCGCCAGAGACCCAGCACCAAAGAAATGGGTGGAGCTAGAAAAAACTTGAATTTAAGCTACTTAATGTAGTTAGTACATTTGATCCTCGTGTGTTTATTAATTTCACCTTTGCCGATTGCAAGTTACTGTTCGATAGCAGTTATCTAGAGGAACTTTCATTGCACTGAAGCTTTTGTGAATAAGGCCCCTGTGGCACTGCAATAACTTGGTATGGTACAGCTAGTCCTCAAGTTACAACAATTGTTTAGTGACGGTTCAAAGTTACAACAGCATGAAAAAAGTGACTTGAACAGTTGGTCATGTGATCAGAATTTGGGCACTTGGCAACTGACATGTATTTATGACAGTTGCATTGTCCCAGGGTCACGTGATCACCATTTGTAACCTTCCCAGCTGGCTTCAAAGTCAAAGGGGAGAAGCCAGCTCGCTTAACAGCAGCATGATTAACTTAATTGCCACAAATGGTCATAAAACGGGGTACGGCACACTTAACTGTCTTGCTTAGCAATGGAAATTTTGGGTTCAATTGTGGTCATAAGTCAGGGATTACCTGTACACTCCTGTTGTATGTATTAACACTTGGAAGCTTAAATACAGAAATATTTGCTTCTGCAAAAGATTCCCTGAAGCTTGTTAGAAAGAGGGAAACTAGAACAGTGGTAGGTCCCCATATTTGGAATTATACAATCTAGCAGTTTAAAAGTCAAAACTATTTCCCATGTTTGTAAAATCTCAGGCTGTAATTGTATATCGCACTGGATAAGCT